CAACAACATAGAACTTACTTGAAGATATATCATATCATGGATCAAACTTTAACAAATGTAAACAAATTGAAATTGTATAACTTATGTACTCAGATCATAACAGAATTCAACTAGAAATCAATAACAGCAATGTAATTTTAAAAAATCACCATAACCCAAAAATTAAGCAACATGTTTCTAAATAATCCATGGATCAAAGACAAAGTCTCAAGAGAAACTAGGAACTAATTTTGAACTCAACTACAATTAAAATACATATCAAATTTGTTAAAAATAAATAAATAAATAAATAAATAAATGGGAATACAAGGAAGAGAGAGGCCCGTGATCTGGTGCTATTGTGGTGATCAAGATGTTCTTCACATGCCAGCCTCTCATTGGGTCCTTTGGTTCCTTTGAGACACCTCTACGGGACCCTCCCATGGAAATCCCTTATGAGGAATATGAACTCTCTGGCTTTTTTCTGTAGTGGTCACCATGGGCTCCTGCCCTGTATGGCAGCTGTACATCCACATTCTTTTTCAGCCTCACTCTGCCACACATTCCTCTTGGGCAGGATCCTTCTTATATGGCTCCAGCCTGACATCCAGGGAGTCCATGAGGCTTCCTTGTCCTGGCAGACGTCCAAGTATAGCCTAATCAGCTGATGCATGTGACAGCTCCAACCCAGGTTGACAACTGAAATTTCCTTGAAATATAATCTCCTTAACTCCCTCCTCTCTTACAGAGGCTGGGAAGCCTGGTGGTTGCTTGTTTCCCCCCTGCCTACATGTGTTCAGCTCCTGTTTTAATGGATGGGCACTTGCCAACCATCATTTTCAGCTTCAGGAAACCATCCAAATTCCTATGAAAACAGGAAAAGAGTCATTAACTTCCTATTTTATGTAGTTGTCATTTTTCTGTTCCTTAATTGAGATGGCCAAGATTGTATTTATCACATTACTCTTTTTGGAAAATGAATCTCTGTTAAGAAGATAGAAAGACAAGCTGCACACTTGGAGAAAATATTTGCAAATTACATAGCCAACAGAAAACTGATATTATTTCTTATAAGATTATATAAGGAATTCTCAAAACTCAACAGAAAAACAAACAAACACAAAACACACAAATAATTATGGGATCCCTTATCACTCCAGAGTCCGGTTTCTGGAGAAGGCTGCACACAAATGAAAAGAGACTGAAAAAGAGTTAATTTGGGAAAATGGGGGGCCAGGAGGGTGACCACCTCTATAGGGAGGCCTACCCCTGCTCTGGCCTTTGCCATCCCTTTTTATTGAGGCTGTGGGAAACACTCATATCCTTTAGGCAGGAAATTCCAATAATAGACAATCAGCAAGAATTTACATTATGATTGACAGGTGGAGGTTGTTTTAACTACCAAAATCTCACCTAAACAATGAGTTAATGGCTCGTCCATTCAGAGCGATTAAGGTTGGCCTTCTCACATTTAACTACTAGTGACAATGTTAGGTTTCCGGATATAATCCAGTTAGAAAATTCACACACACACACACACACACACACACACACGAAGAGACATTTCTTCAAAGAGAATTACACATGGAAAATAAGCACATGAGCCTGGCTGGCGTGGCTCAGGGGTTGAGCATCAACCTATGAACCAGGAGGCCATGGTTTGATTCCCCATCAGGGCACATGCTCATGTTTCTGGCTTGATCCCCAGTGGGGTTGTGCAGGAGGCAGCCAATCAGTTATTCTCTCTCATCATTAATGTTTCTCTCTCTCTCTCCTCCCTTCCTCTTTGAAATCAATAAAAATATATTTAAAACAAGAAAATAGGGACCGGTTTGGCTCAGTGGATAGAGCATTGGCCTGCGGACTGAAAGATCCTAGGTTCGATTCCAGTCAAGGGCATGTACCTTGGTTGCGGGTACATCCCCAGTGGGGGGTGTGCAAGAGGCAGCTGGTCGATGTTTCTCTCTCATCAACGTTTCTAACTCTCTGTCCCTCTCAATTCCTCTCTGTGTAAAATCAATAAAATATATTTTAAAAATAAATAAATAAAATAAAATAAAAACCCACATATTGCCGAAACCAGTTGGGCTCAGTGTATAGAGCATTGGCCTGTGGACTGAAAGGTCCCAGGTTCAATTCTGGTCAAGGGCATGTACCTCAGTTGTGGGCACATCCCCAGTAGAGGGTTAGCAAGAGGCAGCTGATCGATGATTCTCTCTCATGGATGTTTCTAACTCTATATCCCTGTCTTTATAAATAAATAAGAAGAAGAAAAAAAGAAAATAAGCACAAGAAAATTGTACAAATTATTAACCATCAGGGAAATGCAAATTAAAACCCTGGTAATTGGGGGACAGGGGGATGAGAAGGGTATTGGGGGAATAAGGACACATATGTAACACTTTAATCAATAAAGAAATTCAAAAAACAATACCACGGTATTATTTCATTACACACTAACCAGATGGCTAAAATTTTTAAATAGTGTTAGCAACCAAATGCAGGTGAAGATATGAGCAATCTGGATTATTCATACACTGGTGATCCTCCTATATCATAAAATGCTAATATGCAAATCAACCCAACAGTGAAGTGACCAGTCACTATGATACTCCCTGACCACCAGGGGGCAGATGCTCAACGCAGGCGCTGCCCCCTGGTGGTCAGTGCACTCCCCCAGGGGGAGCACTGCTCAGCCAGAGGCCAGGCTCACAGCAGTGGTGGCGGAAGCCTCTCTTGCCTCTGCAGCAGCGCTAAGGATTCTGACTGACAGCTTAGGCCCCAAGCAGGCCTAAGCCATCAGTCAGACATCATCCCCCGAGGGCTACAGATCTGTGAGAGGCACAGGCCAGGCTGAGGGACACCCCACTCCCCACCTCTCCCATGAAGGACCTGACAGCAGTTCATTATTTGGAGTTCATTACCACCAAACCAGTATTATAGGAAAATGCTGAAGGGTATTCTTTAAGAAGAGGAAGAAGAAGAAAAAGGTAAAGATAAAAATTATGAACAACAAAATACAACAAATACGTATTTATCAACAAGTGAATCTAAATATCAAGTGAATAAAAATCTGATGAACAGAATAAACTGGGGAATATAATAGAATCAGGGGCATAGAACTGGAGTGGACTGACAATTCTTGGGGAGAAGGAGGTGTGGGGAGTGCGGAAAGAGATTGGACAAAAATCTTAGCACCTATGGGCGAGGAGAGGGGGTGGGCGGTAAGGGCATGGGGTAGGGGGGGACCGGGTGGAGGGGAGCTATGGGGGGGAACAACTGTTATAATCTGAACAATAGATTTTTTTTTTAATGCCAACTCTTATATGCCACAGGGAATGATTAACCGACATAGGGCACATCCATATTTTGGAATTCTCCACCCTTGCTGAGTTCCACGGGAATAGCAAGGATTGGATCAAAGCCAACAGGCACGGGGAAGTGGGAATAGCCCTGCGCAGTGCAATGCGGTATTGTAAATGTACACATATGCAGGGCACACCCAACAGGAAACCTTTTCTGTCCACTGACCGAACCACAGGGTGCCGGGAAGCGAGGTCAGTCCCATCTGGGTGTGTTTGGGAGGGCGTTTTCCAGGAGAGGAACACTTGAATTGGGAAAGCAGACTGCTCTCCCCAAGGGGGTGGCCTCTCCCACCAGCTGAAGCCCTGCACGAACCAGAGGCCGAGCCCCTGCCAGTCCCAGAGAGTCCTTCCTGCCTGACCCCTCCACATGGGGGACACTGGCCTCTTCCTGCCTCTGGACTCAGGGAAGCATCGCCCACCGATGTTGGGCCTGCTGCCTGGGTCACTCCGCCACCCATGGGCTCCCTGGGCCTCCAGCTGCCTGCTCCCCGCAGGACCTGGGTCTTGTCAGCCTCCATGATCACAGGAGCCAATTCCCTGTAATAAATCGGTTTGTTTGTGTGTGTGTGTGTGTGTGTATGTGTGTGTAAAACATTTTTCACTAAGTGTATGTAGTACTTTTGTAATAAGAATAAAAGAAAAAAATTCGTTGCTTAAGGCCCTTCTAAGACTGGCTGTAGGACGGTCTCGGAGCATGCAGCTGCCCACTGCGGACATGGCGGGGCCACCTGAGCTGGACTCCGTCTACATCTGTCTGGGTCGGAAAGAGGCCGCCGCGCTGAGCACAGCAGGAAAGTGAGCCCCAACGCCCCCCTCTCAGCAAACGTTCTCCAGCGCCTTGCGGCCCGCGCCACAGCTCCAGGGCTGAGGGAATGGGGTGCCCTGAAGCCTCTTCTGGAGGAGACCCCAATGCAGGGCAAGTGCTTCCTCCAGGGCCCCTCAGGCTGTGGGCAGCCCCTCCAGCCGGCCGGACAGCTCCTCCCCGCACCCCCAGCCCCAGGCCTTCCTTCCACTGAATGCCACTGCTCCAGGCTCTCCCCTCCCCTCCCTGATCCGGGTCTCTCAGGATGGGGACCCAGGAGCCGCTATCTGGGACTAAACTTTCTCCCAGACGCTCTGCACTCCCCCTTCTTTGCACCCTGCACGTCCCAGTTCCCAATAACCGGTCCACACACAGTGTCAGCATTGGTTTCTCCTCTCCTGCTCCACCGAGGAGGCTGGAGGTGACAACCCTCACAGTGAGCGGCAGAAGGAGGCGGGATCTGTGCCCCCCCCCCCTCCACTCTCGGGTCTGAGATCCTTTTTTTTATTATTATTATTTTTATTTTATTGATTTTTTACAGAGAGGGCTAGAGAGTCAAAAACATTGATGAGGAAGAATCATCAATCAGCTGCCTCTTGCACACCCCCTACTGGGGATGTGCCCGCAACCAAGGTACATGCCCTTGACCAGAATCGAACCTGGGACCTTTCAGTCTGCAGGCCGATGCTCTATCCACTGAGCCAAACCGGTTTTGGCGGGTCTGAGATTCTTAAACCACTTTGCTCTCTCTTCCCTCAACCCCTCCCGACTATCCTTCCTTCCTTCCCAATCCCCGGAGAGCAGCGGGGAGAGGGTGGGGGTGGGTGGGGGTGGAGGTCTGCGGGGCGGGGCTCCTAGCCCGTGCTGTTGCGCGGCATCTCGCAGGCCCAGCGGTGCAGCTGCAGGCAGAAGTCGTCGTTCCAGCGCCCGTCCTCCCGGACCGCTGCACAGTCTTCACTTCCGCCCTCCTCGTGCCCCTGCCAGTCGTTGGGCTCCCCGAAGGCCCAGTTCCTAGGAATGCAGGGCAGAGCTCAGGCTCCGGCCACCCCAGCCCAGCACCCCTCCCCCACCTCAGGAAAGCACAGCCTTGCCCAGCCCTGTGGCTCTAGGAACCACGCTGAGCATTGGCCTGTGAGCCGGAAGGTGGCGGTTTGATCCCCGGGCAGGGCCCATGCCCAGGTTTCAGGCTGGGCCCCCAGTGTGGGACTGGCAGGAGGCAGCCGATCAAGGGATTCTCGTCGTGGATGTATGTGTGTGTGTGTCTCTCTCTCTCCCTTTCCCTTCCCCTCTGAAATTTAAAACAATAAACAAAGTACAGCCTTGGAGAGTTCAGGGAACAGAAAGGAGCAGGCGGGAGGCTGGAGGGGAGAGGGCTGGGGAATGGAGCCGCTCAGGGGGGTTGTGGGGGAGGGAGGGAGAGGCACTTACTTGTAGCTTTTGTCATAGTCTGTGCCGTCCACCCACTTCCAGGAGCCATCGCTATCTGTGAGACCGATCCAGGTGTAAAAGGGGCCCGAGTGCTGTGCGACGAATTTCTGGAAAACAGGAGGAACGGAGGGTCTAGTCCTTGTGCTCTGTGCAGGCATTAGCTGTGGGCCCCAGCCTGCCCCAGCCTGGTCTGTGATGGACAGACATAAACCCCACCTGCAGCCAGACCTTCCTGAGCTCTGAACCACCAATCGCACCTAAGCCCCTGATTCCTAAGTCCCTAGGTCCCTAATCACCAATCAGCGTGTGCTGAGCGCCCTAAGCCCCGTCCCCTGTCCTTAAAGGAGCTTGTACCCCCGGCCCTTGCTCTCCTCCACCCCTCTCTGTGGAAGCAGCAGCCGGCAGGGGTACTCTTCCCTCCAATAAAGCCTGTGTGTGTCCTGCCTTCCCGGTCTCCGGCTACCTTCTGTTTAATTCATCAGTCTGCCCCGAGATGAAGCACCAGCTCCCAGCAAAACGAGGGCCTCGCTTTTCCTTGGTAGCCTTAGCTATCGTTTGGAGATAATTGACTGGGCTAATGCCCACGCTGTGTGCTTCATGGTTTGTTTGTTTTTTATTTAACCCTCAGACACTCTCTAGTGCTTCTGATCTGAGGACCTCGCGGGGGTTGGTGGAGCCCCAAGAGCCAGTGCAGGGCTAAGCCTGTGACACTGCCCCATCCCGCCCCCACTTCATTCTGAACGCCCGGCTGCTGCCTGGACTCCAGTCCTCTCCTTGTCTTCTGCCCACAACCTCAAACCCGGGATCCTGACTCTGGCCCCTGTGCCTGCTGCCCCCGGGAGCCATTCGTGTCACCTGCCCCTCAGGGCTCCTGCCTCGGAGTGGCTGTCCTCTCCAGAGGCTCACTGGGTCCTGGGGCCTCCAGCGGGACCCACTGCCCGGAGCCGCAGACAGTGCAGCAGGTGCCCCCTGCCCCCGCCACCACCACACCACCACCCAGGCCCCAGCGCCCGCCCGGGGAAGAGCCAGCCTGTTGGAGTTTAAGCCAGCCTGGGCCGTGTTTAAGGAGGATCGTCCTGGTAACATTTGCTGAGTCTTTACTATGTGATGGGGATCCCGTCCACTCTGCTCCTCTCGCCCAACTGGCCACCACACCCCAGGCAGCCACAGCGAGAAGGGCTCTCCGTGTCTCACCCCCGACCCCCGAGCCCACCCTCCGCGCTCTGCACCCAGTCCTGCCTCTACTTAGTTCATCTTGTCTTGCGTTCTGTCTCCTGACCTGCTCCTCACCCTGCTCCCCTGGCTCCTGCCCCTCTGCCCGAGCTCCTGGCTGGAACCCCGGCTCTTAGCTCAGGGCTGCTCCACTATGACCCGCCCAGCGTCCTGCCAGCCTGCGGCTTCTGGGCTCTTCCCCGCTTAAAAAATAATAAATAAATAAATAAATAAATAAATAAATAAATAAATAAATAGATAAATAAATAAATAAATAAATAAATAAAATTTAAAAAGTGGCCCCAGCTGGTTTGGCTCAGTGGATAGAGCATCAGCCTATAGACTGAAGGGTCTCAGGTTCGATTCAGTCAAGGGCACGTGCCCAGGTTGCAGGCTGGATTCTCTCTCATCACTGTTGTTACTATCTCTCTCTCCCTCTTCCTTCCTCTCTGGAATCAATAAAAATATCTTAAAACAATAAATAATAATAATAAAGTGCTTGGCCAGTGTTGCTCAATGGTTGAGCGATGACCTGTGAACAAGGAGGTCATGGTTCAATTTGCAGTCGGGGCACAGGTCTGGGTTATGGGCTCGATCCCCAGTGTGTGGTGTGCAGGAGGCAGCCAGTCAATGAATGATTCTCTCACCATTGATGTTTCCATCTCTCTGCCTCTCTTTTCCTCTCTGAAATCAATACAAATGTATTTTATTAATAATAATAACAAAGCACCGGGCCCAGGGTCTGCATCCCAGGCGTCACCTGCTCCTCTCTGGAGTTGATGGCCACCAGGTGGGCGTTCTCCAGCTGGCAGTACTTCTGCGCCTCGGGCCAGTTCGATCCGGAGCGAGAAAACCAGTAGCAGCTGCCGGCGTGCTCCAGCCAGCCGATGGGGCAGCACTCCGTGCCTGCGGCGGACCGGGCGGGCGGGGGTGAGTCCGCCGGAGGGAGGGACAGGCGCACCGCCTGGAGGTCCCTGTCCCGCCGCCCGCCCCCCCTACCGTTGCTCCGCAGGAAGGCCATCTGACAGGACAGGATGCGCACGTCCGCGGGAAAGTGCTTCAGGTGGAAGAGCAGGGTGGCGTGATCTAGGGAGGGAGCAGCAGCTCGGTGTGGGCGGTGCGGGCGTCCACCTACCGGCACCCCACACCGGACACACACACACCACTCACCCCCCCACACACACACTCACACACACACACCACTCACCCCACACCCCACACACACACTCACACACACACCACTCACCCCCACACACACACACTCACACACCACTCACCCCACACCCCACACACACACTCACACACACACACTCACCCCCCCACACACACACTCACACACCACTCACCCCACACCCCACACACACACTCACACACACACACACCACTCACCCCCCCACACACACACACACCACTCACCCCCCACACACACACTCACACACTCACACACACACACACCACTCACCCCCACACACACACACTCACACACCACTCACCCCACACCCCACACACACACTCACACACACACACTCACCCCACACCCCACACACACACACACCACTCACCCCACACCCCACACACACACTCACACACACACATATCACTCACCCCACACCCTACATACACTCACACACACACACCACTCACCCCCACACACACACACTCACACACACACCACTCACCCCACACCCCACACACACACTCACACACACACACACACACTCACACACACACACTCACACACACACACACACCATTCACCCCACACCCCACACACACACTCACACACACACACTCACACACACATCATTCACCCCCACACATACACACACTCACACACACACACTCACCCCCCCACACACACACTCACACTCACACACACACACACACACACACCACTCACCCCACACCCCCCACACACACTCACACACACACACTCACACACATCACTCACCCCACACCCCACACACACACTCACACACACACTCACACACACACACCACTCACCCCACACCCCACACACACACTCACACACACACCACTCACCCCACACCCCACACACACACTCACACACACACATATCACTCACCCCACACCCTACATACACTCACACACACACACCACTCACCCCCACACACACACACTCACACACACACCACTCACCCCCCACACACACACACCACTCACCCCACACCCCACACACACACTCACACACACACACCACTCACCCCACACCCCACACACACACTCACACACACACACCACTCACCCCACACACACACTCACACACACAGACACACCACTCACCCCCACACACACACACTCACACACACACCACTCACCCCACACCCCACACACACACTCACACACACACACACACCACTCACCCCCCCAAACACACACTCACACACACACCACTCACCCCACACCCCACACACACAGTCACACACACACACACACCACTCACCCCCACACACACACATTCACACACACACAACTCACCCCACACACACACACACACACTCACACACACATCATTCACCCCCACACATACACACACACACACCACTCACCCCCCCACACACACACTCACACACACACACTCACACACACATCATTCACCCCCACACATACACATACACACACACACACACACACACTCACACACACACACCACTCACCCCACACCCCCCACACACACTCACACACACACACTCACACACATCACTCACCCCACACCCCACACACACACTCACACACATACACTCACACACACATCATTCACCCCCCCACACACACACTCACACACACACACTCACACACACATCATTCACCCCACACCCCCCACACACACTCACACTCACACACGCACACACACATCACTCACCCCACACCCTACAGACACACACAGACACATCACTCACCCCACACCCCACACATACGCTCACACACTCGCACATGCCACACACCAAGGGGGTCTCAGACCTGCTCTCAGCTCCAGCTGCTGCTTCTCCAGCTTGGCTTCCAGAGATGTCACTTTGTCACTCGTGCTGCCGCCTGAGGAAGAGGAAAGCCCGCGGGTCCCCTCCGTCCGCCTCCTCAGCACCCTCGCCCTCACCCACTGGAGCACCGGCACCCTCACTCACCTGGCCACAGGCTCTGCCCCAGCTCCCAACTCCGCCCTCTCCCCGCCACCGGCTTCTGGGGAACAAACCTGCTCGCCCCCCCCCCCACCCCCCGCCTGAAGCCCCGCCCTGGGTCCCATGGTCCCAACAGGAAGCCCCGCTCCCTCCCGAACACAGCCTGCTTCCCTGGCCGGCCCTGCCCGCCTCCTGGCACATCCGTCCTCTCTGCCCGGCACTGACCCCCTCCCCCCTGCCCACCCAGCCACCCCTCAGGTCCCTCAGCCGGGGCCTGCGGCACCTGCCCAGGCACCACAAACCCCCCTGCGGCCGCCCCGGCGCCCGGAGGCCAGCCTGTGCTGCTGAGCCGCTGCCTCGCCTTCCCCACCCAGGTCCTCCCGACGGGGCCTCACCGTGGAAGCTGAGCGTCCGCAGCTCCGTGAGGGTGCTGGCCGAGAAGTTGCTGAAAGCATCCTTTAGGGCCCAAAACTCCCTCTGCATCTGGGCTCCTTGTCAGAGAGAGGGCACGGGGCAAAGTGGGGGGCTGTGCCCCAGGTGACAGCCTCATCTCGGTCATGGCACCGACCCCCCCACCAACCACCACCATCCCAGCACTGGCTGCTCCTCCTGCCTCCAAGTCTTCCCTGCCTTAGCTCTCACTGCCCCCGGTACTGCCCCCGCCCCCGCACTGCCCCCCCACACCCTGCACTGCCCCAATACTGTCCCCCTAACGCCCCCCACACCCGCACTGCCCGTATCTCCTCCCATCACGGCCCATCCCACCGGCCTCTGCGATGCTCACTCTGGGACCCGATCACGCCCACGGCCACGAGCAGCAGCACGTTGAAGCCCAGGACCAGCAGGCTGAGCCAGAGGCTGGAGCTGAGCCTCCGCAGCAGCGAGGGCTGGGGAGGGGGCGCTCCTGCGAGGGAAAGGGTGTCAGGGGGAGGGCTGGCCGGAGCCTGCCTAACGGGAGCAACCAGGGGAGCAGAGGTCTCAGGAAGTACAGCGGGGAGGGGGAGGGGGGACTGTGGGCTTTGGCCCCAGCGCTTCAGCATTGAACACACATGCATTTGCACGCTGGCACCCACGTGAATACATGAATATGCACACACCTACACGGGCATGCAACACCCCTGCGCATGGCACCAGCAGTCACGTCCTTGGTGTGTAAAGGCCCCACTCAGACCTGGGGACCCATGGAGCAGGCCCCGTGCTCTTAGATCCATGCCTGGGCTCCTCCAGCAAGTCTGAAACTGGAACCCCCACCTCCCAACGCCCCTGGTCATTCCCCCACGGGCCAGGCACAGACCACTCCCCACAGGTGCGGTCCGAGCCCATCCTCTCTCACCTTCCACCCAGAGCCTCCTTTCCCACGTCTCCCTGCCCTTCCACCCCAGGAACCTTTGTTCCTCACTGTAAACTCCCCCCACAGCCTCGGTCACCTCCCAGAAGCCTCACCTCCCCTCGGTCAAGCTGAATCCTGAAAACACACACACACACACACACACACACACACACACACTCACACTCACACTGACACATTGGGCCTTTGACTCTCTCACACTGTCCGTGTAGTGGGCCCTTGTCCTCTTCCTAGCCTGACCTATGACCTATGAACTCTCAACTCCGGGTCGGCCCAACAGCCTGTCTCCGCCCGCCCCTCTGCACGGACCCAGACCGCCCGAGGCTGAGTCCCACGGTGCCGCCAGCCAGCTCTGAGGTCAGAGGCAAGTCATCCAGCCTCTTGGTGCCTCCGTTTCCCGTGTCCACGTACACAGTCTAACCGTCAGACTCAGGGAGACGGGGCGGGATGGTGGCTGCCAGGGGCTGGGCTGGGAGATCTGGAACTGCTGCTCAGCCGGTGTGAAGTCATGATCGCACAAGACTTGTGAGTTCTGCACATCTGCTCACTGTCACGGCAACAACCTCTCCCCCTCCCCCCTCCCCGCCCCCACTGTGCCTGCTTCCCGAGCAGCGCCGGGCACTCTCAGCTGTGGAAGGGTGGATCCCCATTGTGCGCTCTCACCGCGATAGGAACGCAGTGGGTAAGCACCGCAGCTACCCGATGGCTGTTCTGAGCGTGAAATGGGTTTCTCGTGTGGAGCGCTGCGCAGGCAAGTTGGAAAATTAAAGAAAGGGTCAGCCCGACGGAACAATAAGGATGAGATGGGCCCTCCTCCCAGGGACACCAAAACAAGAAACAGCTTTTCTTTTATAACAAACTGCCACTTTCAAGGCTCAGGTCTTCAAGCAACACGGAGCAAAGATCCCTGGCAGACAGGAGGCGAACAGAGGAGGCCTATGACTGTCCCAGCCTGTGCTGGGAGGAAGCTTTTGTGGTTGTTGCTGTTGTTATTATTTTTAATTGATTTTTTACAGAGAGGAAAGGAGAGGGATAGAGAGTCAGAAACATCGATGAGAGAGAAACATCGACCAGCTGCCTCCCGCACGCCCCACACTGGGGATGTGCCCGCAACCAACGTACGTGCCCTTGACCGGAATCGAACCCGGGACTCTTCAGTCCGCAGGCCAATGCTCTGTCCACTGGGCCAAACGGGTTAGGGCTGGGAGGGAGTTTTCAGGCCACGGGGCAGGGAGCGGCAGTCCCAGCAGAGCCCAGCAGAACTCGCCCAGTTGAAGAGACGGGGCCAAGAGTCTGAGGAGACCGAGGTCGTTAGACATCACAGGACAAAGTATCAGGGGAGAGAGCTGCCCAGAGCAGTCCGGACATCTGTGCAGTGTTCCCTTCAAGCAATCAGCGATAAACAAAACCACCCGAGACCAGGCAAAAGCAATCTGCAAGGATTGGGGAGTGGGGCCTGGCCCTCACACAGGGCCAGAAATGGTGCTGCCCCCACCAGCCAGACTGGAAAAGATCCCCTACAGGGCGCTGGTAGCAGACCCAAGAAGCCCTTGCCCCGACCGTGGTCCAGACCCACCTGATAGCTCATAAATGCAACACCCAGAAGGACCACACTGACCCGAGTCACTTAACTACATCCCAGACTAAAGCTCAAGAATATTGAGAGGAACACAAATATACAGCACTCAACAGGAAAATCACAATGTCTGGTGTCCAATCAGAGATTCTTAGACATACAAAGAAGCAGGAAAACACATTTTGTAACAAGGAGGTTAATCAATCCATCAAAACTGACCCAGAACTGACACAGGTGTTAGAATTGGCAGACAGGACATTAAACAGCTATTGTAACTGTGCCCCATATGTTCAAAAAATTAAGTATCAAGGAGGATATTTAAAAGGCCCATGTTGAACTTATAGACACAAAAACTACCATGTACGAGATGAAAAAATAAAAAAGAAATACACTGGGTGGAATTAATGAAAGATTAGACAGACACAAGGAAAGATTTGTAAACTTTAAGATATATTGTATCAATAAAACTACATAAAAAGAAACACAGAGAGAGAAAAAACTTTTTTTAATGGAAATAGCATCAGTGAACTGTGGGTCCACTCATGGATGCAGGACTGGAGTCCGTGAAGGACAGGGGAGGAGGGGGAGGCAGACACTGGCCAAATGTTTCCAAAATTTGCTGAAAACAGAGGCATATGAGGTGCTTGGAGCGTGGGAGGATGGTGGGGAGGCAGGAGGCCGGTCAGCTCCCCGCCCACCGATGCCGGCACACCTCAGCCCTGTTCTACGGGGTCTCCATCCGGCCTGCTGGGCGAGCACCTTCTCCCACGAAACCCCAAACCTCTGGGCTGTCTCCAGAACCCCTGCTCACACGGAACCCTCTCACCTTCGGAGGATGCGGCAATTCCCCAAATCATTGTTGAGTGTTCACTGCATCCCAGTAACACGTGGGTGTTGACAACGCAGAGGGCGTGAGGCAGTGTGGCCTCTGCCCACTCACTGCCAAGCCTCCAGTGGGAATGCCTGTGCCTCCTGCTGCTCCCGCCCTGCCCAGCTCCCACCGGCACCGGCACCGGCACCGGCCTCCGCAGCCCGCCAGCCTCGGAAAGGAGGGGTTTCTCCTCCCAGCCCAGGCTAGCCAGATCCTCTTCCTGAGCTCCAAGCCCCAGCCCCTCCTGTCTCTACTGAGCCTCCTCCGTCACCGGCACCCACACACCGGACACTCCCACCCCCACCACTGGCTCCAGCCCTTCAACCTAGAATGGCTCGGGCCTCTCTTGCCTTAAAACCATCTCCCAGACATGGGCTTTCCATCAAGATCTGCCAGAGAAAGATCAGGGGAGGGGTGTTGGGAGGAGTGAGAATGTTCCAGAATATATCTATGTCCATTGTCCCCCCTACCCATCCCCACACCCTCCCGCATACACACACACACACTCTCCTGGCTGACCGGGCTTCCCCAGCACACAGCACACGTCGGAAGGAAGAGGGGAGGAAGTCACCTCCAGCTCCCACTCACTCCTCACCTCTGGGCACGCACCTTTCCCAGGGCCCTGAGGGTGGAGAGGAGGGTGAGGTCAGGGGGTACCGGAAGTTTGGGCACCACACGCCTATACGCGGGAGGGGCCTGGACCTGCCCACTGTGACAGAGACCTCAGAGAGGCAGAGCCCCAGAAACCGGGTACTTGCCTTTCCAAAATGCCTCTGCTCCCCTGGGCCTGTATCCATGCCGGCCTGGCCCCTCAGCCCTGCCCGGCTGGTGGTCATTCTCCTCGGGGTCCAGCTGCTGGGTGTCCGGGAAGTCCTTCTCCATGCCAGGTCCAGGGCCGCGCTGCACCTGGGGCTGAGTGGAGGCTGCTCTCAGGGCTGGGGCTGAGTTCGGGGCGGACGTCGGTGCTGAGATGCTAATTCAGGTGGAGGCTGGTGATGGGGTTGGACGTGGGGTGAGAGCAGATCGAGGACACGGCTTGGGTTGGGTCTGAGGTTGGAGGTGAGTTTGGGGCTGAAATACAGCCAGTCCTGTGCCCTCTCCGATGACAGCTTAGGCTGTGGCATGGCCATGAGGGGCCTTCCCTCCACACACTCACCTTCCCATCCGGCCCCCCACAGCCCCTCCTCTATGGTCTCCTTAGCACCAAACATCCCGTCCCACCTGCCTCCCCGGCCCTGGGTACCTGCTAACGGTGTGGAGGGCTCACTCTGGTCCCGCGGGCAGCCCCGGCCCCAAGGCTGAGGAGGAGCTGGAGCCAGGAGCAGTGGGACAGAGGAGGGTAGGGGGCTGGTCCAGGTGAGGGCCCTCAGCCCGTGTGTCTGAATGCCCCAGTGGCTGTCACTGGCACCTCCTGACCCCGGGACTTTGGACAGTAAACAGGAGTGGACATGGAGTTGGGAGGCAGGCTAAGCACGGTGGGGGCTGGGGCGGGACTGTCTCTGCTCTTTCCAGAGGAAGGGTCTCTGGCTGTCCCCCTCACCCCTGTGAGCCGGTCACCTCGGACACCATTGCACCGTCTGGAAGGGAGGCCAGGCCAGGCAGGTGGAAGTGCCGTTCAGGGTTTGCCCTCCTCCCTCCCCCTTTCACTTCCCGCCTCTGAATTTCCCAGAATTGTTGGTGTCTCCAAACACCCTGAAACAGGATCAGAGGGGCCTGTGCTCTGTTCTTGCCCAATCTGGCACCGAAGCCCAGGCCAGCGTCCTGTCCAGGGCTCAGCCCAGGCTCCCTGCGCTGGGCTGACAAGCCCCACCCCTGGGGGACTGACCCCCTGGAGATCCAGATGTGCAGGTTGAGGAGGTGTTAGGGGCAGAAACAGAATATTGGAGGCCAGCTACAATGATAAGAAATACCGATCATGCTCTGTTCACCAGGATGGTTCTGTTCTGCTTAGAGAAAGCGCATTCTAAGTTGGCTGGGGGTTGCACGCCCTGGCACACGGTGCTAAGGTCGGAATGCAGTCCATCCTCCCGTCCCAAGAATTGCCTATTTTATGGAAAGATTCACAACCTCATGGCTAGTCCCAGAGGCGCCTGCTCTTTCTGACCCAGCCCTATTGTCTGTAATCCGGTGAATCTGGAGACACCTGCCCTCTACAGCCCCACTCCTGCCCACATTGTTACAGAGTTCCCGAACAATCAATCAACACAGGAGGAGAGTTTGGAGAGACTTACTTTATTCATCCCGCGATGGGCTTAGAGAAAATGAATTCAAATTCTAAGCAAGGCTACAGCAGAACTTCCCTTTTTATTAAAGAGCCAGCCCTATGTGCACTTAGTGGTTATCTCGATGACGGCCTTGAATACAGTTCTATCCAATTAAAAATGCGCCTGGCATGGCCTTGAGATTATGGGCACATCTAGTCTCCGGACTACAAGGTCATACAACTAAGTTTATCTTCATCACCATTCAAACAGGCTAAAGCTGGCTAGAAAGCAACATTTTATCTAAGAAAAACAACAGAAAATTCCAAACAGCAGTTTTTACAAAATAGGGGTTTTCCTTCTCAACATGACTTATAACCTGTGATGATTAGCCCCGGCCTGCTCTCCCAGGCCTCCAATTCCTACTTTCCCACGTAGCCTTTGTCCTTCTACCCCATATAAGCAGCCGGCTTCTGGTGGGGGGAGAGCAGATGTTTGGAGGTGACCTGCTGCTCTCCCACACGGCCGGCAGCATTGGAATCAACGCTCATATCTGATTCATCCCTGTTGCTGCCGAATTGGCTCAAGTGGTGACAGGCAGCCGGAACCCTTGGTTGTCCGGTTGCAGAGGGAGGGCTGGGCAGGAGGGGTGCCACCCCAGTGAGCCCCTTGCGTGGCCCTGGCCACACAAACCTTTGTCCTCACTCCCAGCCGGTTTCTCGTGTAACTCTCACCACCCAGCACCTCAGGGGAGACAACTGCCACAAAAATTAGCCTTGGGGAGGTTAAGTGGCTTGCCTTGGGTGGAGGGACCGAGGGGAGGGAAATGGGAAGCAGAGCATAAGAGAGGGGCTTCACAGTCAGTCCGACACGGAAGGGGGGCTCCACGGGCTGAGGAACGTGAGTTATCGCTACGCTCACACTCACAGAGTCTGGGGAGAAAGCACGGTCTGATTTTCAGACCCTCGCCTCCTGGGCTGCTTATAAAGTAGCCGGTGTGCCCTGGTGCTGGAAAGGGGTCGAGACAGAAGCCTGTGCTTTCCTTCTGGGTGTGTGTGTGTGTGTGTGTGTGTGTGTGTGTGTGTGTGTTTTAATTGACATTTAACGTTGTATTGTTTAAGACGTACAGCCTGTACATTTTTTGTGGTAACTTCCTGACACACACGGGAAGTAGCCACTTGATTCGCTATCAAGACTTTTCTATGAAGCCACCAAGGCAGTGGTGGCTGCTCTGCTGTTTGTCGCCCACAGTAAGAGATGCGTTCTTCAATGTGAACCAGGACACACGTGCATCTTTTTGTAGGTTTTACTGGTTTCTGAATCCCCAGCACATAGTAGGTGCTCAACAGGTGTTGATTGAATGAACAAGTGATTGGATGGATGAATTTGTAGATATACTATTGACATGAAAGTTTCATAAAGCAATGCTACCTTACTACTTGCATTCTATTTCTCTTCTTTATAGATTTTATGATCTTTTAAAAATATATTTATATTGATTTTAGGAAGAGAGGAAGGAGAGAGAGGAAGAAAGAGAGACAGAGAGAGAGAGAGAGAGAGAGAGAGAGAGAGAGAGAGAGAGAGAAACATTGATTGATTGATTGATTGATTGATTGGTTGCCTCCCATATGCACCCGGGGATTGAATCTGCAACCTGGGCATGTGCCCTACCCAGGAATTGAAATGACCACCTTCTGGGGCATGAGATGACACCCAACCAACTGAGCCACACCGGTCAGAACTATTTGCAATCTATTTCATGACCAACTAAGTTGAATTTCCCTGATCCATTAATCAGTCACAAATCAAAGTTTCAGTTCTGAGATATAAGCAAGAACTCAGCAAATAGATTGTCAGCTGCATGTCCAGGTTCACCAACTGCCTTCCAGGGACAGAGAGTGTCTCACTGGCCACCCACTTTGACTGAATAGATTCCAAGTTTCAAGGTACAACTCCCTCCTGGCACTGGCGAGATGGAACAGAGTGTGAGAGAGACCCGCTGCCTCCTATTCTTTCTATCTGAAAGTCAATATGTTAGTTTGCCAACACCTAACATATACTTGGAGTATTTCTTACGTTTCCACATCGACTCATTACTTTTATGTTAGGGTTTTTCTGATTTGGGTTATTGTGGGAGCCGCTACGGTGTTTGGACAGGTTCAAGCCTTGGACTAATGAGAGGGCACAGTCCTCTCGTGACCACGTGCAGGTCCCAGCCTTGCACAATAATAGCCAACAGCTGTAGTTGTAAGCTTGACCCTATGGTCTGAACACGTGGTCCCACATGCCTGAGTGATATAGGCTGCAAGTAAACAAAGCCTGATCAGGTGCATGTAATTGAGTAGGTTCAAAACCCATGAGAATGTTGTAAACATCCTGGCCACGCCCTTACTTTGCGTCATGGCATCCGACTAGAAAATAAAGACATGGCTTGTAGTCCGTGGCGCTGGCGTTAGCTCTCTGTCAGAGAGGACAGTGTCCCACTGAGGCCCAGCTTGCTTCTCTTGTCTTTTCTAATCCTTCACCGCCCCGTCTCAGGCTCACCGAACCTGGTTGAGCTGGCCCGGCACATAAGGCGCCCTGAGGCTGAGTGTGCCAGGGCCGTGCCAGCCCACTACAGTTATAAAGTCCTGTCTTATGGGGTTGATTTTGGTTTTGGGGGGGAGGGATTTTGGTGGGGAGGATGGGTTGTGTACCTAAGGCATAGAAAGTGAGGTTAGTCGATTTCTGAGTTCATGACACCAGTCTTCTTCTGAGGTCTGAGCAAAATCTTTCTCTTGCTTTTATAATACTTTCCCTCCTGCACTCTGTTTCGCCACACCAATTCCCCCGCTCTCCACAGGCAACCAAAGCGGTGCGTTTACTAAACATGGCGGTCTCAAAGATGGCAGCCATCAGCTTCTCCCTTCACTGTGTGTGCAAGTCAGACTAGCCACCCAGGAATAGATTCTGTTCTCCTCGCCTTGAGTCCAAGCTGACCATGTGACTTGCTTTGACCAATAGGAAGTGCTTGAAGCCACACTCTACCTAGCCTTTAAGACACCTGGAAGGTTCAGTTTTCACTCTTGGAAGCCAGACATCATGCTAGAATGAAGTCCAGCTATTAGGCTAGAGAGAGGGGGGTCATGGGGAAGCCTAGAATGAGGGACTGGGCTGGGGACAGGGTGGGGTAGGGTTTAAGACACAATATGGAGAGAAAGAGAGAAGGAGGGAGACCACACAGAGGAGCACGAGGCCCCCAACATGTGAGCAAAGCCTTCTGGGAGTTCCAGAGCAGCACAGCCAATGGCTGGATGCATCCAAGCATATGGGCAGAACATTCCTCCGGTGCCAGCCTAGGAGGCTGGGAAGGTGGGCATCCATCCTGGCAATCCCACACCAGGAGACTGTTTCCATCAACACCACATTGCCCCTGTCCCCTTCTCTACTCTCTTTTTCTCCAAAGTGCCAAGCAGCATTTCACGTATCATGCATTTGGGTCTGGTTACTCTCTTCCTGCGCATGCGAGAATGCAGGCCCGTCGAGAGCAGGACTCATCTCATTCAGTCCCGGCTCCCCAGGCCTCGGTCAGTGCTTCTTGCACATCGTCTGCTTCCGGGACCAGTGAGTACGTACTGCACAAGTGAATGGGTGGCCCGTGTCTCTCTCCCTGTCTGCACGCCAGCTCTCTGAACTCAGGAA